CCGCCGAGCAGGGAGCCCGATGCGGGGCTCGATCCCAGGACCCTGGGATCATGACCTGAGCTGAAGGCAGACACTTAATGACTGAGCCACCCAGGTGCCCAGGTTACACACATTTTTTAAAAAGAGAGAACATAAAAACAATCACATAAGTACAGACTAATAATATAGTAATGATAGTCATATTAAGTCAGAGGTATTTTAATATTTCAGATTGAATAAAGAAGTAAATCTCCACTGAGTTGGATAAAACACAGTAACTAAGTTAATAAAATCAATGCTAAAAAAAATAAAATCAATGCTAGCTTATACTTACATTATGTTATTTGATGTACATTATTCTATGGCATTTGGAAATAGTTTGCTCTTTTAAATAGGTTAAGCATTTGCCTTGCAACTTTTCGCTTTTTTCGTTTGTGTAAAAGGCCAACATTGCTTCATAAGAAAAAAATATACCTTTCAACCTAGTTTTCAAATTATTTTGTGAAATCCATGAGGATTTTCTGTACTTGATACTAATCCGGGGGTTAAAAATTGCTTTTAAAATCATCTCATTAACTCTTTAAAAAAGTGAATGGAAAATACAGAATCATTTTCCTAGATTTCAAAGTCCGTTTCATTTTCTTCTGTTATTTCTCATCAAACCAGCATAATGGATTCTTTTTTTAAAAATCTGATTTAAAAAAAATGATTTAATTTATTGAAACCATTTGTAAATAAATCATGTCCAATCAATACAGACTGGAGGACTTGTTTTTAAAATATGCTTCCTGTATTGTGTTATGTTTTCATCTCAAGTTATAACCAGAGGAAGCAGTAACACAAACGTTCTATGTTCTTTACTGACAATCCTTGCTTGTATGAAACTTGCACAGTGACATTTGGCTAAAAAAACTTCTTATAGAAGGGCATATTTATTTATTATACACATGCCACACTCTGTATTGGTCTACTTTGTTTTCCTTGAAGGCAGGTTTCAGTCTTAGTCAACTCTGTATGCCCAGCACCCATTCTTGTGACCAGAGCACAAAATGTGTGTTCATGTTTGCTCCGTGAGTGTTCCCATTCCAGAATGCTCCTTGGGGGATAATTGTTGGAAGTGAGTGGGCCTTCTTTCTCTGTGTTTAAAATGGGCAGAGAAGTCTTTTATATCTCCTGGGATAGCACAACCTACTTTGCCAATTTCTAATAAACAAGGTAGTTCACGCCCACCCCTTGAGGGAACCTCAGGAGGAGAGAGCAACTGTGGTGGTCCCAGTCCTGACCTCCGGGAGGCTCAGCTGGAGGGTTTCTGGCCAGTCCATGTCTGAAACGGCCCTGTTTTGTATCTATTGTTTGGAGTCCTCCATCGAGGGCAGGTTACTTTGAAAGCCAACCTAAGGTCATTAGTGGGACCTACGCTCATTCTTGGTTTACAGACACAGAGTGTAAAACATCAAAAATGCTACCCATATCATCTGTTTTCATAATTTAAAGAATTCAAACCTTGATATGTTTAAAATGAAAAACAGTAGAACTTCTTCTACACACAGATAGTACTAAGTCTTATCCCTTAATAACTTAAACATTGCTGTTGAACAATTTCAAAATACACTTATTTGCAAAAGCTATATAAGTCCAAACCACAGAATCCCTCCCAAATGATGAACATCTTCAGATGTTCAGGGCTAAACTCCACCAACCTAAACGTTTCTTTCCTTAATCTCTGGTGGAAAAAAAGGGAGGGTTCCAAAGTGCCTATTCTATACTGCACTGCAAATGATACAAGTATGTGTATACACACCTACACACACACACACACACACATAGATACAGTAAGTCACCTAAGTATCAAAAAATGACATTCAGTTATTATTGTAGCATTGGCGATACTCTCTTGGAATGATACTGTTTTCTATTCTTGTTATCTTTTCCTGTAACTAACAAATAGATATGATCAATGGCTCTCGTAAGAAAGAGACATGCAAATCATAGACTTGTTTTTGATCGTAAATACCTTTTTGGCAGGGACTAATAGAATCCTCAGGCTATTCACTTTTTTAACCTCTTCCTTTTATCTCACCAGCAGTCCCGTTTCCTAAGTTAAGAGCTTTTTGTATATGCTGTTATTCAGGTTACTAGAGCAGGTATCCATTTTACTTGCCATCAAATGACCGCTGCTGTTGTAGCTGCTGGGATCAGAACTTTCTTTGCAGCATAAGATGCTGTAGAGGTACCTCTGGCACTCAGAAGAAGCATAATAGTAAATCAAGGGATCAATGCAACAGCTTATGCTGCTGACACAGACACAGAGGAGGTAGGCAAAGTAGGCAGCCTCTGTCATGGACTCTTGAGAAAGGAATGAGTAATGCAGAATCAGGAGGACATTTGTGGGCCCAAAGCAGATGATGAAGATGCAGAAAACAGCAAGCGACAAGAACAAAGCCCGGGACTTCTTGCTCCGGTTGGCTACTGCGGAGGAGCTAAGGCATCGAATGATAGACACATAACAGATGGTGGAAACGATCAGGGGCACAAAGAAGAAGACAGCAGAGAAGGCTGAGAAGTAATAGGCATAATAGCCTTCGAGCAGGGTTTCATTGAGCACATCATGGCAGGTGGTGATGTTGAGCCGCGACACCTGGGTGGTTTGCTCCTTGAGGAGGAGAGGCACCACCCCCGCGATGGCCATAGCCCAGATGGCCAGACAAGTGAAGGAAGCCCTCCCCAGAGTACGCCAGGAGAGGGACTGGATGGGGTATACCACGGCCAAAAACCGGTCAATGCTTATGACTGTCATGAGCATGATGGAGGCGTACATGTTACAGTAAAAGGCCGCGGTGACAAAGCGACACATTTCAGAACCAAATTTCCAATCACTGCCGGAAAAGTAATAGCTGATCTTGAACGGGAGCACCGACACGAAGAGCACATCTGCCGTGGCCAGATGCAGCATGTACACCACAGCGGGCTTCTTGATCTTCATCTTCAAGATGAACACAAGGATGGCCATGACATTCAGAGGAAGGCTTACTACAAACACGCCAGTGTAGACAGAGGGGACAAAAAGCATCAGCCAGGCACTGGTCAGATATCCTGAGGCATCTTCCGTGATAGACCCAGGGGGCCGTTTTTGAAGAGGATGGCTTATATTGATGGAGCTTAGTCTGTCTTCAGGGAACTCACTCCCGTTTCTCTCCTCATTGTCCTCCAGTGGGAATGGTTCAAATATATCATTGGTATTCTTGAGAAAAAATGACCGGGGATCCACAGTAGCATTGGTTGCTTTTGACTCTTAAAAAAAAAATAAAAAATTAAAAAGTCAAAAAGACAAAAAGAATACATTTTATTTTTAGTGCTCTTACTAGAAGAGTGGGTGGGAAAGAGCAAGTAATGTACAAATGGATTACAGACCTTATCAGGGAATTAGCTCACTCAAAATACTGTACAGCATTTTTTGTTGGCATAAGCAAACACTTAAAACTCTGCTCCTTAGAAGGACAGAAGCAAATGATACACTTTCAGAGATGTACCCTGAAGACATCAGAAAAGGCTGAGTGGCTGACATAAAGGAAAAAATCAGTGACTTCTTTTCCATTCTAGCCATGGTCTCTATAAACAAATCCCTCCCAGGCTCTATGACTTGGCTTTCCTCCATAGGCCTTCACTTCCTCCATTGAGTTTGCAGACACCCCTGGAAACCCGTGGTTCCCAATGGAAACATCTACACAGAAAGGTGAGGGGACTTCTTAAGTTACGGAGCTAGAGGCAAATTCGGAGTAGGACGGAGGGCTTCCATTTCCATGGCCATTGTCTATGTGACAGTAGTTTTCCTCTACTATCTTTAGTTTGTTTTGCTGTAGGATGTTCCAAATCTCTCACCATATTTGGACCCAAACAACAGTCCCTCGGGTTATCTTTTAACATAACCACAAGGTGCACACCCTCTCAGTCATCTTCCTGTCTCCTTCCTGAGCAGGCTTGTGGAGGAGCAGGTGTTCTAGGCTGATGCCAGGCCAGTCAGGCTTTCCTGAGTGTCAACCAGAAGTCAAAATAAAGGCTCAGTTGCAAACTTCCTCCTTTCATCACCCTCTTCCACCAAAAGCATCCACTTAAAATGTTCATCAGAGAAAGGCAACACTTAGCTGCTGTAATTCAACCAGCTTTTCCTGCTGAGGAGCTTTTGCTCAAGTTTTGTCATTGAGGAGAGTTGGACGAAGAGCTTTGGTGGGCCCTGGGAAGCTGAGGACCAGGGAGAGAAAGCACAGAGGAAGAGGGGCGAAGCCTCCATCACTGGGGGTGCCGCAACAAACACTGGATGTGCAGGTCACTCAGAAGTGATGTTAGAGGATTTAAAATCTGGCTAGAAACTGGGTAAGTACAGTGGATTTTCAAACTTTTGGTCTTAATTTTCAGTGGTGAATCCTTTGTGCAAACAAAAGCTTACACAGAGAGGCATAATGCAACACAAGAGATAGTTCTCGTTCTGGAATGGCTCTGTAAGGACACTGGACCCAACCATCCCTGAGATGAAAATTAAAAACCCTTGACCTCCTTCCTCCCCCCGAATCAATGACCTGAAGGCATTTAGGTTCCCAAGGTGGTACTGGGGAGAGGAGAAATGATTCTTGAAGGAAAGGAAGGCGCCCGGTGACTTTGTTTTCTTGACTTTCATGGTAAGCTCAAGAGAAGGCCAGAATCAATGCCACAAAGGATGGCTAAAACTCAGATAGAAAACCCACAGTTTCCGGCCTGAAGAACCAGAGGACAGAGCATAGTCACTGGAAAGTGAGGAGACAATCCCAGGGAGGAAAAGTCAGAGAAGGGAGCCAGCCCTAAATTCTAATGTGAATTTGCCACAGGCTTTGGTTGACTCTGGAACGATGCACATGTAAGGGACGATGTGAAGTAGCTCTGCTAAAGACAGAAGAACTGAAGTGATATTTTTTGCTCAAGATGGAGAGTTTGCACTTTGAGTCCAACCAAATTAATTGCCTGCTAAACAAAAACACCAAAATCCTTTGGAGAAATAAAACAAAATCTTAAGTCTTTACAGTATGGCCAGGGTGCAATCCCAAATCATTTGATACAAAAAGAAACAGAAGAATGTGACCCAGTCTCAAGAAAAAAAGATAATCAGTGGAAACCAATCCCAAGAAGACCCAGATGTTGGATTTAGCAGATAAGGATTTTGAAGAATGTGTTGCAATGAAGTAAAGGGAAATACCTTGTTGAAATGGATGAAAAAAAAATAGAAACTATCAGCAAAGAAACCGACCAATGGAAATTGTAGAACTAGAAAGTAAAATACAATAAGGTGGCATCTATTTCCAAAATAAGGAGAGTAGAATAGAACAGGGTGCCTGGTGGTGAAAGGTGGAGGTATGGCTCTCTCAGAAAGGTCATAACTGGGCTCCTGAGGGTGAAGGGGTGGCCTGGCAGGACATCTGTCACAGGGAAGGTCAAATGTCTCCAGTAATGAGCTTCTGAGAAAATAGATATGTCTATATTGTTCCTCAAGGGTATGAAACAAGAAACCATTCCTATGAATCTCTGAATCTCCAGCGCCCTGTACATGGTAGGTGCTCCTTAAATTGGCTTTTTTTTTTTTTTAAAGATTTTATTTATTTATCTATTTGACAAGCAGAGAGACAGTGAGAGAGGGAATACAAGCAGGGGGAGTGGGAGAGGGAGAAGCAGGCTTCCCGCAGAGCAGGGAGCCCGACGTGGGGCTCGATCCCAGGACCCTGGGATCATGACCCAAGCCAAAGGCAGATGCTTAACGACTAAGCCACCCAGGCACCCCCTTAAATTGGCTTTTAATCACAGATTTGCATTCTAATATTGCTGCCAGGAGTCACTTAACCCCTCTGAACGCAGTTTCAGAATCTTTAAAGTGGGATTCCAATACCTGTCTGACCTACAAATCTGGCAGCCAGGTGTATCCCTTGTGAGCTTACTTTGTAAACTATACAAACTAATCAATGTAATAAATTAATCTTATCCTTATCACTTCAGTGCAACTTGCTTTTAGACTCAATTATTTGCTTACTCTCATTTATTTTATTTTATTTTTTTAAAGAATTTATTTATTTGACAGAGAGAGACACAGCCAGAGAGGGAACACAAGCAGGGCGAGTGGGAGAGGGAGAAGCAGGCTTCCCGCGGAGCAGGGAGCCCGATGCGGGGCTCGATCCCAGGACCTTGAGATCATGACCTGAGCCGAACGAAGGCAGATGCTTAACTGACTGAGTCACCCAGGCGCCCGTACTCTCATTTATTTTAAATTAAAATGGAATCTATGCGTCTCTTCCCTCCTACTCAGCAATATTTAGTTTTTCAGGATGACGAGGAACATGAACAGGCTGTAGAGTAGCTAGCCCCAGCATTCAAAGATGTCTATCAAAGTTTAAATTCACAGCCTTTTCCAGAAGTATCCCTTTCTTCCCTCTGTGATGCATCTAACTTACTCAGGAAAGAATGAATGGGTTCTGACATTTTCTTTTATTTCATTTTTTAAACAGATTTTATTTATTTATTTGAGAGAGTGAGCAAGAGAGACCATGAGCAGGGGGAGAGGCAGAGGGAAAAGGAGAAGCAGGCTCCTCACTGAGCAGGGAGCCCGACGCAGGACTCGATCCCAGGACCCTGGGATCGTGACCTGAGCCGAAGGCAGATGCTTAACCAACTGAGCCACCCAGGCACCCCGGTTCTGGCATTTTAATACCACAAAGGTAAGTGTCCTTAAAAATGCTGACCCAGAAGAACCTGAAGATAACACAACTTTTCTCTGCACTTTGGGAACCTGGCTAGCTAGATTAAGGACTTCTGTCATGCAGGGAAGGGTAAAAGTACACACACAGGCGTGCACAGACAGGTATGAATCCAGGCATTACCTAGAGGAACGCTGTAATTTGAAAACTACTGGACACTCATAACTAAGCCTCTTAGATTCTATCACTTTGTCCGAAAATAAAACTGTCACTGGATTTTACTCTGTATTTAGTACTTTGGCATTAAGTATTTGTTTTAAAAAACGTCTTCCCGGGGCGCCTGGGTGGCTCAGTCGTTAAGCGTCTGCCTTCGGCTCAGGTCATGGTCCCAGGGTCCTGGGATCGAGCCCCGCATCGGGCTCTCTGCTCCACGGGAAGCCTGCTTCTCCCTCTCCCACTCCCCCTGCTTGTGTTCCCTCTCTGCCTGTCTCTCTCTGTCAAATAAATAAAATCTTTAAAAAAAAAAAAAAAAGATTTTAAAAACGGCTTCCCTGGCTAGGCCTTTTTAGGCAGTACGGTGTTTGTAACAGAAACATTATACCCACTGAAACATGAAATTTTTATAGGCTGGAACCCAGGAGGAATGCATAATCCCTTGATTAAATATCATCATCTAAGGTGTCACCTTTTCTTGTTCGTATAGGTTTGATATTTTGGTTTTTGTGGAATTAAAAAATGTCAGCAAAAAAATTTTTTTAATTTAAGTATATACCAACATCAAGGAAATAAACAAAACCAATTCCAAGTAACTAGACACATCCAACTAGCTCAAGCACCTTAGGCTGCAATTTGAGTTTGCGTATCTCCCTTTTCCTCCCCTCCTGGCACAGCTCAGAGGTCAAGGAGAAAATGCCTGTCAGTGTGCCAAAAGCTCTTGTAATTCATCTGCGGTTTTGTTGTTAAGCTATGATTTCACAAAAAAAAAAAAAGCAGCTCAGGTCCTAAAATCAGTTCTCATGCTTCTTGCTAATTTTTACTCAATTTAGGTTTCTCTTAAATGGCTCTAGAGTAGTTTTGTGATTCAATGTAGCACACTGCTAAATGCTTCAATATGGACTCTCTAACTCTGGAGAGTTTTAAAAATTAGAAAGTCAGGCAAGGCTTCCTCTATCTTTGATGAGCTCTGGCTGGGAAGCAGAGCGGTGACGAGATGCATTATCAAGGTCCCAAGTGATCCTGGGATTTATACTATGCCAGCCTCCCCCGAAGCACCGGCCTTGGTTCTGACTCAGAGCTCTGCCCTACAGGGTTCACAAATTAACAAAGCAGAAGTGCCAGGACCTTGCCCACATTCCCACATGGCGCAGAATAGCTGTACCCTGCACTTCTCCACTAGGGGATCAACAAACACTACAGGCTAAAGAGAAATAAAGAAGAGAATGATGGAAAATTAATAGAAACATATTAATTCCATCAAGTGGAAAATAGCAGTATTACTGCAATACTCCACTGCCTCAAAGGCATATGCACACCATTTCCTTTTTTTTAAGATTTTATTTATTTATTTGACAGAGAGAGACA